AGGCAGGTAGAATTAGTTGATTTTTGACACAGTTATGGCTATAACCTTTGTCTACAACATATCAGAAAATATCTTTGGGGTCTCCATGGGGGGGAGTACAGTGACCCCTAGACTAAACCATTATTTCCATTGTGAAAGAATCCCAACCGCTGCATTATAAGTGAAAAAAAGCACCCACAGCATGGCTATACAGTAAAGAAAACGACATCTAAAGCTTTTTTCAAGTGCTAAGGAACCTACCTCGCACTTACAAAAGTTGTTTTCTTCTGGGATGACAACGGGTTACCATGGCAACAGTTATATGGGGAGGGGGGCGGTGTTTTGAGGCCCACGGCCACTTTCTTGTTGTATAATGTCTGAAAAGTTTAAACCAGAACCACCAAACTTGGTGACTTTTCCTCAAATAAATTTTGCAATAATTTGATATTCATACTTTCATGTTGCCATGGTCATGTTGCCATGGCAACTGGTTGCTGACAGGCATTTTTTGCCAAATTCAGTAATATCACTATAGCAATGAAATTTCCATTTTTTTTGTTTTAAAATTTTCCCCCTTATCAAACATCCATGACATTCCTGTAAGTTTATGTAAATTCTTTGTTTACACATATATGATTTATGTTAATTAGAGACGTCATTGGACAAGATAGCGGACCATCAGTAACTCGGATATTACGTTTTTTTCTCTTAAAACGCTAAAACTCTCAAAACTTTTTAAAGCATAGAAAACGAAAACTAAAGCTGTCTACAAGTGGTAAGTAAACCCACCTTGCACTAACAAAAGTTCATTCCGTCTGGACTGACAACGGGTTACCATGGTAACAGTCATATGGGGAGGGGGCGGTGTTTCAATGCCCGAGGCCACTTTCTTATTGTATAATGTCTAGCAATTTTCAGCTAGAACCACCAAACCTGGTGACTTTTCCTTAAATAACTTGGGCAATAATTTCATTTTAAAGATGAAAATCAATATTTTTATGTTGCCAAGGCAACGGGTTGCTGACAAACATATTTTACAAAATTCCGTAATTTCATGCAGTTTAAGAAATGAAATTTCCATTTTTTTCTAGTAAAATTGCACCTCTTATTTGGAATTTATGGCATATGTAATTTCATATAATTTCTATCATTAAACGAATTTTTCTTTCATTTTTGATGCTGCATGAACCCTACTTAAGCTGGAGTCACATGCTCGGCATGTTCCCGGTGTAGACGCCGGCCGGCGTCATGAAGCCGAGCGTGCGCAGACTGTCAGGGTCACAATCAAATGTTCCTTTACGGCTCCCTGTCGGGGCGCTAAGACGGCTTCTATTTAAAATTCACAAACTTTTGGTCCCTTTGACGGTTTCTGTTAGGGACCAGTCCGGTGAACGTTCAGTCTCCCGTCTTGACCCATGCGGGATGCGGTAGCGTGCCGACCTCTTACATTCTGGCCGGGCAGCTTTTGGATCCTTGGCGGGGTTCAGGGTTGATCCTTTCGGGTCCCTGGGTGGTAGGCCACAGTATACCAAAGGTATGGTACAATTATTGTCCTCCTGGCACCCTTCAATGCTGAACCCGTTGGTAGAGTAGTAAATCAAAAACATCTAGCAAATCTTTCTTTACATTTGATGATGTAGCCTCATCATCAATCACATCAATCACCCTGTGCCTATGTTTTCTGCTTATCTCAGTTCTAAAAATCTACCTTTTGATTGAAATTCCACATTTTGTCAGGATGTTTGCAACAGCATTATTACCACAGTGGTAACAGACAGCATTGTTCTGCCATAGGGATACTGTTGATCTATGTGAATGCTACAACAACATTATATATATAAATAGAAATGATAAGTGCCATTTAAAAAAGAAGTGTTACCTTTGGCAACTCTTTGTCAATCCAGCAAGAATCTACTTCCTTTGTCCAAGGTACCTTTCCTTGCCCCATGATTAAAAAAATCTTGTGTTTTAGTGTTAAGAGGAAAAACTTGTTATATCCGAGTTATAGTCCACCATCTTAGACTTTGACCAATGACGTCATCTAATTAACATTAATTATAAATTTGTAATCATAAAAATTATATGAACTTACAGTAATGTCATGAATGTTTGATAAGAGGAAAAATTTTAAAACAAAAAAAATGGAAATTTTATTCTTATACTGAAATTGCTGAATTTGGCAAAATATGCCTGTCAGCAACCAGTTGCCATGGCAACATGAAAGTATGAATATCAAATTATTGCAAAATTTATTTGAGGAAAAGTCACCACAGTTTGGTGGTTCTGGTTTAAACTTTTCAGACATTATACAACAAGAAAGTGGCCGTGGGCCTCAAAACACCGCCCCCCTCCCCATATAACTGTTGCCATGGTAACCCGTTGTCAGCCCAGAAGAAAACAACTTTTGTAAGTGCGAGGTAGGTTTCCTTAGCACTTGAAAAAAGCTTTAGATGTCGTTTTCTTTACTGTATAGCCATGCTGTGGGTGCTTTTTTCACTTATAATGCAGCGGTTGGGATTCTTTCACAATGGAAATAATGGTTTAGTCTAGGGGTCACTGTACTCCCCCCCATGGAGACCCCAAAGATATTTTCTGATATGTTGTAGACAAAGGTTATAGCCATAACTGTGTCAAAAATCAACTAATTCTACCTGCCTTTTAAGCGGCCATGGTTCACTAAAAACGTCCTAAAAATGGCTTTTTCTCAATTTTGAAATTTTACAAAAACACGCCATTTTTAAATGTCTGCTACAGCTCACCACAAAAACATTTTGAGCAAAACTTCATATCATTTTCTTAGTTACAATATGGATCATAGAATATGTTAGAAGCAATGAGATATGTGTTACTTTCTGTGAGATACGGAAGGTAAAAGATGGTCCATTTTGGGCAAGACTTATGCCTCCACAAGGTAAAAATCCGCCATTTTGAAAAATGGCTGTTGCCATGGCAACCATCAACCAGCGAACCAAAACTTACCCATTTTTGTAAGTTTGGACCAAGTCCCTACCACCACACAAAATTTAAGAGAATTTGATTTTTTGAGTTTGGCCACCTTATGCTTGGTTTTTACAGACAGCTGCTCTATCTTCAACAAACATTTGTACCATCGCAGACCCTCTTCCATTAAAAATCTCCTAGATTTGTGTACACAAGAGCAAGAAGCAATGTGAATCTAAAATACTACTGAAGTAAGGTTTTGTGTTGACAAAGTGATGAAATGACTTCATTCCTTTTCTCACATTATTGTGCAGTGTCGCCCTAAAAATAGACTTTCCAGAAATTCAAACTTTTAACCGTTCACATGTACAACATTCCTAACTTCCTTCTACATAATAACTTGTAGACAAAGAAAACATGACCTGTCGCACATTAAAAAAAAAAAAGTTGTGTGTATCTGGATATACCCAATCAAGTATTGCAGGCACTCCAACAGGGCCTTTCTCGAAAGTTACTACACCTCCAATGCAAGTACAATTCTTTACTTTTCACAAAAATCGTAGTGAAATTTGATAATGCCTTACAAGTAACAATTCCCTATGGAACAATAGCCAAGACCGGTCATATTAAACCAATCACATTAAGTTATTGTCAAATAATTGCACATCTATATCTATATACACTAAACACCATGTAGCAGCAACCCTAACACAACTCGCAAACTTGGCAAGCAAAATTACCAACCCCAGGATATCAAAACACCCCTATTTTCATATTAGACTCTTCCAAACCAAATGTGGGACTGTACCAATTTCACTAAGGGGTGTTTGCAGCGAAGTCAACAGTGGCATGTCCCTCAAAACAACAAAATACCACACCCCCAAACTGGAATGGTCCAATCGTCAGTTGAAAAACACAACTACTAAACATTACACAACATGCAACAAATAAATAAATTTACAACTGATGCAATAATTAGTTTTAAATATGATATCATAGACTGCTAACTTAATTTCACTGAAGAGCTAATAATTGTAAGATATATGTATATATACATTTTATGGATGTAGTTCACTTTAAACTCAGTAAAACCTTAGATAAACCTCAAAATTGTAACCCTTAAGAAATTTGGCTGTAGATAGTCATTGAATGAAGGAATGGAAAAACAGATGTTCAATTTTTACTCCTGATGGTTTAAAGATTTAAGTTTTAAAAACTTTTTTGCAATTTGCCTTCTAAATGTGAAAGTTTAGACAAAGAATAAACATCTTAGTGCTTTTAGCTGAATACAACTAAAATGTTGAAAGGATTACAATTAAACAAAGGTTTAAACAACTAAGGTTTCACTTTAAAATTCATAGCCATTGACTAACATAAAAAGCTGCCACAAATAATCAACCACTTCACTAAATATATGAAAGATTAGAATTACAGCAATACACAATGTCAACAAAGCTTGTGGTACAGGTACATAATGTATGTATAGACACTGAAAGTCACTGAGATTCAATGCTTTCATTTGAATAGTTAAGTAACCAAAATCTATCAAATTCATGAAACAGTGACTTTGAGTTGTATTTAGATGACAAATGGTGTATATATTGTTCCAAGAGTAAATGTATGCACTTTATGTATCTAAATATACACTGTTGATGTACATGTTGCAGTTTTTGTGATAAACAATTTGTTTCAGTCATATTTCTCAACTGTTATGTTACAACAAATGCTGTGATATAATTGTATCCTAACCAAACACAGGTTATTCGAAACAAATACTCTCTTAGACTACTACCTTCTTTCCATCATATCAATGTCTCTGTACATAAATTTCTGGCTTCTCACTGCCCACATCACATACTCCCCTAGTCCCTTTTCATAGTTCATAACATATTTTCCTTCTTAAAACAAACAGAACAATATGAAGGAAATACAGTCAAATTACATCTTCTTTTTAAATCGATCCCAAAGAACTTTCCTTATACATCAAGACTTGCCATTGAAGGCTCTAGTTAACCCTCTTCATACCAAGTTCTGGTAGAATATAGTTAAAATTATACCAGAAGCTCGAATACAACCTCTGTTATTAACATTCATCTGCCAGGTTACATAATATACAAATGTATTTGCCACCCTAAAAATGTGTCTAAAGCACTAGACATCTAGATGCTTTTTAAAGTGGCAGATAAATTTAACCTGGCAGATAAATGTTAACGAAGTTATACATGTATTATTAAACATTAGGGTTTTTCAGATGATGCTAAGCTTCGTATTCTGATGCAAAGCATTTATAGATACAGGATTATCATTAAGTTCATAACAGACTTTATACAATAGATGTAAAATGGCCCATAGTCTTCCATGAATATAGTTTCATCAGGTTGGTAAGTCACTGAATAAAGAAACTCTTTTTTTTTTATACAACCGAGTGTTTTACTCAGCCGACGTTTCGGTGACCGTCTGTCACCTTCCTCAGGGCAGTTCTGACAGACGGTCACCGAAACGTCAACTGAATAAAACACTTGGTTGTGTAAAAAGAGTCTCTTTATTCAGCCCATAGCCTTGTTCAGACCGGTCATGATGGAGGCCTCCAGCAGGATGTTATAGCCTTGTTCAGACGTCGTGATGGAGGCCTCCAGCAGGATGTTATAGCCTTGTTCAGACGTCATGATGGAGGACTCCAGCAGGATGTTATAGCCTTGTTCAGACGTCATGATGGAGGACTCCAGCAGAATGTTATAGCCTTGTTCAGACGTCATGATGGAGGACTCCAGCAGGATGTTATAGCCTTGTTCAGACGTCTAGGCCACTCATGATGGAGGACTCCAGCAGGATGTTGAACTCCTTGAGAGACTGGAGGATGGAAACGAGGAACTGGACCATGGCCTCGTCCCTGAGGAAGGACGTCTCCTCGTACATGGACAGGGTGACGGGCGTGGCCACAATGAGGGGGATCCACTGGTCCAGCAGGTGGTCTCTGGAGGGAGCAAGGAGATAGATATTTACAGACTGTTCTGACTGTACACTGATTGGTGCAACATACTGTAAATCACTTTAATACTAGAGAAGTAATGCATTTGTTTACCTTCAGACATGGTCTGCTCTGTTAATTCTTACTCAATCACATGTACTACTAGTATATGGTGACAGGAGCAGAGCAGACCATGAAATTGCAACATTATGTAACCCAACACCAGACGTCAGCAAATCATGTCATTGGTCAGGTCAGAGGTCATGGTTTGGAGAAGAAGAAGAAGAGGAAGAAACTGAGCAAAAAAATTAGTCCTTTATTTTCTGGGTGGTACGTTACCCTAAAAATCAGCAAAGGGCCCTTCCAGTAACAATTTTCTGTCAGAATTTTGGGAATTTTTGCTCCTAGAGGGTCAATATGCACTGGGTCACTGTGGTTTCAACTCAGTATGTACATGTAGATAAATTACTAGAATATTGGATTTGAAAAATCAGGTTTCCAAGCCCTAAAAACTGCACTGGATGCCTTTAAAAATGTCTAGATCAATGTGAAAACAGAGTTGAAGTCTTCGCACCTTGCTCCGAGACACACCAGTAGTTTGAACTTCTCGTCCTTGCCCATACTGGTGGAGTGTGCGTTGATCTTCTCCACCAGACGACACAGAGACTTCCTGGACTGTCTCACCTGGACTGAGTCCCGAGAACCCTCCTCATCACTGTCTATACTCTGGAAGTAGGTGTAGACTTTTCCTGGGTGGGAAATAAGAGATCAGGTAATCATCAGTTAGACGTCTGGAAATTCAGTTTTCTCATGCTATATAGCGCTAAAGTGGCTCTAATTTGTAGATTTCCAGCAATGCAATGCAATGTAATGTAACGTATTGTAGTGGCTAGTTTTATGACTGACTGATTGGTTACTTACGAAAGATACATCGTAAATGGTATGATTGCACTAGCAAGACTACATGTAGAACAGAGCAACTGCAACATCTGAATCTGACATTGACAGGTTGCTAGAAATTTTACTCTGATTATACAATATTTAGTCATTCTGTAACAGCTAGAGAAAATACATACATACATACATACATACAATGTACATGTTGTACAAGACAACATGATGCATTTTGTTGATCTAAAAGGGCTACTTTTATCAAAAGAATGAATTGAAAACCATCACATGTATTCATCTACGTGACATGTATTGAAGTTTCCTTTTAAAGCCTATAACAGACAGTCAAAGTTTTGAGTTTCAAAACCAGCCTTCTGAGCAGTGTTTAAGACTCAAATACAACTTTACCTATGAAGTCCCAGACAAAGAACTTGTTCCTGAAGAGTCGTGAAGACTTGAAGCCGTACAGGAAGACCTGTTCCAGGGACTCCACTAGCCCGTTCTCACCACACAACAGGAGGGTCAGGCTGCCTCTCTGTATAACAACATATCAAACAGTTTAGAAAAACTTGGGTTCACTGAATCATAATTTTGTCTATAATGGTTAGCGTAGCATCTAGCTGTGTATATCTTAGTAGACATTCTTCATTTTTGAGAGACAATCGAAGGTATAGCACTCTGGTATCATGGTAAGGGCAGTGTCTTGTGTGGCTTATCAGTTCTTTCCCATACAAATACACAGACAAGGCAAAACCTACTGGAGATATACTTCATGGTCACAAAGGTGATGAAAGAACATGAGTGCCTTCTAGCAGTTTAGACCTGAACTGCTAAGGTAGAAAATAAGATACAATAATAACAGAACACAGTCATTGATAGGACTGTACCTCCTTCTCTGGTTTGTAGAAGTGTTTGACAATGTTGTTGACAGCATCTCCCACCATCTCCTGTATCTGTGGCAAGGCCAGTCCTGGGGAAGGGAACAGAACATGTTACAAGAATGTCATTTCTTTCAATAAAGAATATCACAATCGCCTAAATGCAGAGAACTTTAGCTGCAACAATGTGGAAGGATCTTTGGGAAGTAAAGATGACACTCACTGATTTTGGGTAGATCAATCCCCACAGGTGATCTGGATCTAGATCCAGGCGGTGTACGGCATTTCTTCAGCAGCTCTGGAGAGGAAAAGAAAGTTGAACTTTAGTTTTGAATTCTTAGTGGCAGTACTCAGGGGTTTGGAGTTATGATGATGTTAAGTTTACAGCAAAGCAAGGTATAAAAAAACTGACATTTGAAATGGTAAAGAAAACACCATTCTTTGACTGAAAAAAACTTTATTATTTGACTGCTAATGAAGTAGACAAAAGTACTTTTGTCATCATCAAAAAATCTTCACTCTTTGACAGAAGAATAATTGATTCTTTGAAGCTAAGAATACAGAATTTTCTGTGAAAAAGTCAGCTACATACAAAAACATGTACACTCACATGAAAACTACCTATGCCTTGCTAAAAAAAAGACTTGTATTGTAGTCATCGATAAAAATTAGACATAGCATGCACAGAAGTGAACCAAAAAAGATGGTTCAAAAGTACCTTCTATAGGTGAGGGAAGCTGGTGCACCCAAGAAGTCCGAACTACTTCGGAGAAACAAGGCAGAACACAAGGATAAAGGAAAGACTGAACTCCTTCAAGGCAGAGGAGAAAAGGCCAAGCAGGTAAGAATCGTCCAGAAAAGGAAACAACAAAGATTGAAAGAAATCATGCATTTTCTGCATGCTTTACACAATGTATAACAAACTTCTAAAAGTATAGCAATTACATGTACATAGAAAACCACATGCAACTACCAGTAAGTAAAATGCTAAATTTGCTATAACTTTAGAATCTGCTTTCTGGTTTGTACTGAACAAATTACAGACAAAAGATCATGGCATGCTAGCAACTACCATATTGGAAGCCCCTTTCAACAAATCTAGCGAACAATTTTGTTTTTAACCTTTATCTTCCCAAGTAACAACATAGTCTAATATGTGGTACCCCTGTTTCCCAGTCCTTGGCACACTAGGGGTTAAACCGACTGCCCTACCTTCAGTGTCGACAGGTTTTCTCAGCAGTTCTCCCACCAACAGTCTCTCCAGACTGCCGTCATCCACTCCCTTCCCCAGCCACCGACCACACTGGAACCTGTACAATGTATACAATGAGTTCAGTTAAGGCCCTTCTCTCAGCACATGGTGTATAGGAAAAGGTAAGGGTAGACTAAGTCATGTAGCCTGTTTCAGGCCATAGGGACAGAGGGTCGTTAATCCACAGCAACTGGGGCATAGTATTGGAAGGTGGATCCCATCTCTCTCCTTCCACTGTCTTTTACCTCATCAACCAAAGTCAGGTACCCACAGGAAAGTCTATAAAGTGCCTTTCCTTAGGACATACATGTGTAATGTCTAGCCAGGAATGCCATGGATTGAACCTGGGACCTCTGAATCTTGTGTCTGCTTGGCTAGCCACTCGCTTATTTGGACGCACTGGTATACATGTACATGTAGGTATAGTGTACAGGACTGATATGACTTGGTTGGGGATCAAAACACACTAGGCGATTGTGGTGGCTCTACAATGTTTAATGATAATAGCCAGGCTATCACATACAAAATGTACATGTACACACATGTGGGTGTTAAAGTTGGTATCATACTGGTGTTTTAAACCTAGGTTTACAAGTTGGCCCCAAAAATGTCTTGCTGATCTAAAACTTTACGGCAAACTCTTGTGAGTAAGAAAAAAGACTGTCTTACTTGTATGTGTGACCTGTGACCTCGTTCCTAACCAGGATGTACTCCACCATCCATTTGGGCATCAGTCCACTGTTGTCATGGCCGATACGCAGGGTGGTCATCAGGCCCAGGTTCTTATGCTGGGGGAAGTACAGTAACAGTGTGTGAGGGATATATCATTAGGGGACAGTACATTCACACACAGTGTGGGGTTGGGCATCAGTCCACTGTTGTCATGGCCGATACGCAGGGTGGTCATCAGGCCCAGGTTCTTATGCTGGGGGAAGTACAGTAACACTGTGTGAGGGGATATATCATTAGGGGACAGTACATTCACACACAGTGTGGGGTTGGGCATCAGTCCACTGTTGTCATGGCCGATACGCAGGGTGGTCATCAGGCCCAGGTTCTTATGCTGGGGGAAGTACAGTAACAGTGTGTTAGGGGATATATCATTAGGGGACAGTACATTCACACACAGTGTGGGGTTGGGCATCAGTCCACTGTTGTCATGGCCGAT